ACACACCTAGATACACACACACACACACATGCACACACACGCACGCGCGCGCGCACACACACACACACACACACACACACACAGGTGTTTTTATGTAAAGATACGTTTTGTATATACCTCACACGGAGTGATGGGGCTTCCCGCTTCATAATATAGGCCTATTCATAAGTTAGAAGCAATATCAATAATGGTATTTTCCTTTCTTTGAGATATTGAGAAAGCATGAATCCATACATTGTTTAAATACTTTTCGCCGCACTCCATTTTCACTCCTTGCAACCCCTTTCTCAATCAGACCTCCCCTTTGATACTATCGAATAGCCCGAAGACGACCTCGGCTATGATAATATAATGATATGAAGGCAAAGGCAGTGCGACAGTGATGTATTTCCACTCAATCAAAGAGATCTATTTATAACTTTAATCATAATGAGTACCTCACAAGACTGTGGATTTCATTCAACTACAACGTAGATCAATGATGTTTCTTGTTTTAAAATGTACACACTTTTCGTGCAATGATTGGTGTAACATGACCTGCAAAACGAATGTGTCGGAGATGAGGAGAATGGGGATGGGAGGTGGAAGGCGGAGATTAGTATTAGCAACAGGATGTTGAAGAATATGAATGTGTTCTAGCTTAGTCAATTTCTATAATAATAACCATCTGGCGAATGAAGTTCTTGTGTTTTGATAACACTGTAGCGAGAAAAAGAAATCCAACTTCAAAGATGTCTACTGCCGTCTGTGGTGTAATGATTAGGCTCTTCACCGTTGTAAGCAGAAATCTTGAGTGCTATTCCCGTGTTGGGAGAATATTTATTGAGTATCTAGTATCTCCGCTTTAGAAAAGGCAGCAACACAGAAGACCAACTTTTCAAACTAAGTCAAGACATCCAAGATGGTTTCCAGGAGACTAAGCACACTGTTGCCATCTTTGTAGATCTCCAACAGGCGTATGACAGAGTGTGGCCTACTCATGAAAATGATGGACCTCGGGATACACGGGAAACTTTATAAATGGATCAAGTTTTCCCTAGCGGATCGAAACATCGAAACAAAGGTGGACAATGCCCACTCGTCAAGAGAAGTACTCGAGGAGGGCCTACCCCATGGTTCCTGTCTGAGTTGCGCTTTGTTCCTGATCTTCATTAATGATGTGACGAACGTGCTGATATCAGAAAAGACTCTCTACGCTGATGATCTTGCTCTCTGGCAGACACATCGCAGCACGGTAGTAGGAGCAGGAAAATTAAATGAAGACCTCAAGAGGCTCCACAATTACTGTCAGAAATGGAAGCTCAAAATAAACTGCTCGAAAACAGTATACACCATCTTTACAAAGAGCCATAAAATAGCCAAAGAAAAACTCCAACTGAAGATAAGAAATGAAAATCTCCCCAAAGAAGAACATCCAACGTATCTAGGAGTCAAACTTGACCAAAGTCTAACAATGAAAAGCCAAGTGGAGAGCATAAAGAACAAGGCGAAAAGAAGACTCCAACTTTTAAAGAAACTCGCGAGCAGTTCATGGGGATCAGACAAACAAACTCTGAGAGCTCTATACCTTGGTTATGTCCGATCTTCCCTGGAATACAGCAATAGCCTACTCACTATGTGTAGTGCAACTACTTGCAATACCCTTGACAAGGTTCAAAATAATGCCCTGCTTTTCATTAATGGTGGCATGAAATCTGCACCTACTGCCGCATGTGAAATTCTGTCAAATGCTGAACCCCTGGGAATACGCAGAGATAAAGCAGTTTTGGAGCTTCATGAAAGAACCAAAAGAATGTGCCCCAACCACCCAAACAGGAAATTAGTAGAAACATGGAAACCAAAGAAACGACTTCAACAAAAATCAGTCATGCATCGTATCACAGAACTAATGGAGAGCCACCACCTACCACAAAACAGAAGAGAAACCAAAAGAGTCAACCAAAACATCCCTCCCCACATTTCTATGGAAAAACCAATCATTAAAACTTCTCTCAGAGACAATAGCACAAAATCTTCAGACCCAGTGAAGTTGATGCTTGCATCACATCAAACAGCACTATACCATCTCCGCACAGTTGTTGACACTCATCCAAACAAAACCCAGAGTATAGTGATCTTCACTGACTCACTATCAGTCTTGCAAGTAATAGAAAATGATCACCATCTAAACGAAGACTTGACACATATACAGTTTGGCTCCCATCATCTGATAACATTCTGTGGCGTCAACCTGGTGATGCAGTGGATTCCCGGACACTCAAACATACCTGGAAATGACAGAGCAGACACACTCGCCAGAAGGGGATCTAGACAGGAACAACCCAACATTCCAACTGCATGCAACACTGCAACTGCAAAACAAATCATTAAAAGCAACAGCAAACAAGATTGGATGAACAGATGGACCTTGGGAAAGACGGGCAGAGCAGTTTTCAAACATATGACTACAACAAAACGAAATGACAATATCAACCACCTACAGAGAAAGAAACAGACCACGATCTTCCGCCTACGAACAGAACATATACAGCTCAACTTTCACTTAAACAGAATAAAACCAGAACTTCCCCCCAATGTGTCCTTTGTGTGACTATGCATATGAGACAGTGGAACATCACCTTTTCCACTGTACAGCCCTAAATGACATCAGAGCTACCCTTCTCCCTCCGAGACCTAACTTCGACAACACACTCTACGGAACATTACAGCAACTGCAGCAAACCTGCACTTATCACTAAATGGCATTGGACAGAAGGGCGAGAGCCCAGATGTTGCTGGATCGATAACAACAACAACAACATTGAGTATCTCCGTCTTTCTTCTGGGACATTGTATCACTTTACGCCTGGATTAATCAGCCTGACAGGCAGGGTTGAAGCCCTCCCCATATATTATCTAAATTGTGTCTATGAGGGTGTAAAACACAAACATTTTTTCAATCACTGTTTAATTTTTAAAAGTACATGTACTTTATCCTTCAGGGTGTGGCTGGAGCATACTTGGGACATAGAGATACAGAAGGATTCTACCGAAAGATGTCTTGCGAGGGCTCCGAGAAAAGCCTGGGGGACTGTTCTAGCTCTACAACGTCACTATGTAGACCAGATTCTAGCGTTGGATTAGTCTGCTTCAATAACGTCAATGATGGTGAGAAACGCACCAATGCTGAAACGGTGAAGGTTTAACACCCCTATCAACACTATTAGGTTATGTAAGAGGCCAGGGGGGAATGTCTTGTATGGTACATTCCTTTAATATTAAAACTCAGGTTGATTGATCCTTGGCACACATATAGTATGTTCACCCTTTAGTTTTGAGATCTCACAATTTTTGAAACTTTTGCAGAAAATTCTATTTTCTATTTATAGCTGTGACACTTCCATGGTTCCCTCCATTGTTGAACTTGAAGTGTTATAATAAATGAATGTCTCTAACTTAAGCCCCACTTAATTGTAACGTCTTGTGCCATGAAAGAAAAAAAACTCTTACCCCTGTCATTTGTCTTTGTACCCTTTTCCAGGATAGGTTGTGGTGGGGATAGGTAGGGACAAGTTTCCGTACTGCTTTTTTAATGTATTTTTCTAAGTATTCCTCCAATACATGTATGTGTAGTAGGCCTACATTTCATGCATTTAAATCGCGCTTGTTCACTCCCTCTTTCGTATGCTCTTCAAGTACTGGAGATGCGACTCGTGGAGGGACCTGCACTGAGACCAAACACCCACAGTGGTCGCCTGGAGGTCCGCCTTAGTCCTCTCATGCCCTGGGGATCCGTCTGTGATGACAGTTTCCAAGGACAGTCGGCAACTGCAGCTTGTCGACAAATGGGCTACAAGATTGGCGAGGTGGGTCACATTCTCTTTCTCTTTTGGAACTAATTTGATTTCTTAATTAAGCTCACCTAATTTGAGTAATAAAGCCTAGAAGACTGTTCTAGGTCTACAACTTTACTATATTGTAGACCAGGATCTGGAGTTGGATTAGTCTACTTCAATGTCGTCAATGATGAGGAGAAATGACCAGTAGGATGCAATGATATTATTTCTTTTGATGTCTTGTATGGTACTATTCCTTTAACAATAGAGATCTAGTGGATCATGCATGGCATACCTATAGTATATTTGCCCTTTGGTTAAAAGATCTCATAATATTTAAGACTCCTCAGAGCAGTGCTACTACGAATAATTTCATATGGGAATGCATTATAAAAGAAAATCGTTCATCAAAGTTAATCCATTTGCAGAACTTTTCTGGTGGCGCTCATAGCTTTCTGAACAAACGAAACTATTTCTTTACGTATTGTATATGTTTGAATATTCAGTTGAACGTTAAGGGCTCACGTGGCTTAGAGGTTAAGGCGTTTGCCTCTCATTCAAAGGTCCCGGGTTCGAATCTGGGTAGCGACGGAAACTTTTTTAAATTCTAAAATTGTCTGCTTTCGCCTCCTTTCCTGCTCTCTAGCAATTTTCTATCGTCTGCTTTCATCTCCACTTTTTGCCCCCACCCCCTCCTCTGGGCTCCTGACTCTTTCTACAGCCTTTCCACTGCTTTTCCTTGGCTCCTTCTTATAATTACTGCTGTCTTTCAGCCACACACCTGATCTTCTGGTAGGAAGATTTACACCTAGCCTTCTCGGACAAGGGCGAAAAATCTCGGAGGTCCTGTGTGCAAGTTGCGCACCTTAAAGATCCCTTGGTGGTCCAAAATTGACAAGAGTAGGCTTCCGCCGCCACCCGGACAAAATACAAAATTTTCTACCAACTGAAAATGTTAGGTGTGTCCAGCGCACTCATATGACCTTATTATGCAGTTGTGAGCGTCGTAAAATACTTGCCAAAAAACCCCCCACCAGTTTAACGTTTATGGTTTATGGCTTTCCCACGCAGACAAACAAGACTATCCTATGTGTATATGGCACAAATGTCATTTGACAAATTATTAGTACAAAAGTTTCAACAAAAACAAAGACAATAACACTCAAACCTAAAAATCTGTTACGTTTAGTTTCAGTAAGTGGGGGATTTTTTTTTAGGTTAAAAAAAATGCAGTGATAATTTCCCTTCCTGTGTCAATAATCTAACTGCACCAACGTATTTCCAAGGTTAATGATAACTTCTGAGGTATATTGTAAATCAAAGTCAACAGTATATAAGTCTCTCTCTCCCTCTCTCTCTCTCTCTCTCTCTCTCTCTCTCTCTCTCTCTCTCTCTCTCTCCCTCCCTCTCACACTCTCTCTCTCTCCCTCCCTCTCACACTCTCTTTCTTCCTTTATTTCCTTCTCAATGTATCCATCTATCCAGGTTTTTTTCTCTGTGTCAGCATGTACGTCTGTCTGCATGCCTGTTTAACTAGTTTGTCTATTTATCTTTTTATCCATCCGTCCGCCCATTCATTCTTTGATTCATCCGTCCATCCATCCATCCATCCTTTTCTCTGTCTGTATGTATGTATGTTTGTCTGTCGATCTATCTGTCGAATGCTGCACACCCTCACAGAAAGCTGCCTAATATAACCGGTATGAAGTAGATGTTGATGTAGGTCCCATGTCCTCTTGTTGTATCCTATACTCAACCAATCCCCCCCCCTCTCTCTCTCTCTCTCTCTCTCTCTCTCTCTCTCTCTCTCTCTCTCTCTCTCTCTCTCTCTCTCTTCCTTTTCACCTTTCAGTTTTATCTTTTTCCACTCACAACCATCCCCCACCCCTCTTTTAGTGTGTTACTCTGTACTTATTTTTTTTGTGGGAGGGGGGGGTGGGACCTTATGTTGTGAACTATTTGTGTTGCATATGCCACAGAACTCTTACTTAAACTATAACTAAACGCACACATACGCGCGCACACACACACACACACACATATACACACACACACACACACTCTCATACACACACACATGCACCCACACACACACACACACACACACGCGCGCGCACACACACAAAAACAAACACATCTGTGCTTTTACCAGAGCAAAAAAACAAAGAAAAGAGACGTATATGCTAACTTATTACAAAAATTAAATGTCTCTCATTGTAATGATGAAAATCATTTTCAGAGTTTGCGACATTCCTTTTGGGAAAGCTTGGTGAGCAATGCGCAGTCAACTGAGTAAAAACAAAAAAATGCTCTTTTTCACTTTCTTGTGACTTTGTTCCACCTCTAATTCCACAACAGACTAATCTGTGTTTTTATTGTTTTGTATTTTTTGGTGTTTTAAAAAAAAATTACCACGCTCGGGTTTATCCCAGATATCCACCTATCTGTTTTGACATATAAAGTTATTATTATATATTATCATAATATTATATATGAAGCTATATATATTATGTGTTTCTTTAAGCTTCCCTGCTGATCCTTTTGCATTGTTTGCACTTGACTTATTGTTATCAGACTATTTTTATTATTATTATTATTATTTTTATTACCATCATCATCACCGTTTATCTTATTATTATTATTATTATTATTATTATTATTAATTATTATTTATTTTATTTTTTTATTATCATTATTATCATTATTATTATTATGCTGATGCTTGGTTAAATATAATGGAATGAGACAAAACAGAATACTTCTTTTTTGTACATGAACAATAAGATAATAACAAAGGGACACATTTCATTTTGTTGTAGTAGGCCCTATATTGTTATCACCCAATAATTTTGCTTTCTCGTGTTTTGTGTATTCGATCTTTTTTTTAACACTATTTTCATCGCTCCACATTGTGCCCTTAACTCCATTTACTTGTACTATTCTGTTTTCACTTTGTGTGAAATGAATGTGAGACATCTGTTGTATTATTTGTGCTAACAAACTCCTCGTAAACCTTTTTTTTCTTTTCTTTTGTTTGTGTGTGTTTGTTTGTGTGTGTGTAATATATCCTTATTATAGGCCCTAAGTGTGGGTCAGCAAAACCCACAACGAATGAAGCAAAATGTACAACTTTTATTTATGCATTAAAGATCTAGGCTAGACTGACACCAAAGCCACATAGGGCGTCTGTAATGGCGATATACCACCATAATATCTGAGCTAACCCTGCTTTTTTTATTTTTCAATTGTATCTTCAAATGTACCAGCTGCTACTGCCCAACATTGCTTGGGAAAAAATACCCCAAACAAACAAACGCTTTTTACTTTGCAATAAACCCAATGGCACGTTTTATTTTGTCATGAAAGTTGTTGATTTGTTGGGACTTTGGTTGCACCACCACCCCCTCTTTTTTCCCATATAACATGTTAAAATTGATAGGCAACTATGGACAATTCTGAGACTGGTCATACACGTAAAGAAATTAGGTTTGTCAGATTGTTCAGAGATTAATTTTTTTTTTTTTTAAATGAAAGTCAAAAGGGGCCTATAAACTATGAAAGAATAGATAGGTGGGAGAATGGTAGGTGGGGTCCAATTATAGCTTTAAAGTATATATAAGCTACCACATCATTCGCTTTTATTCTTACTATTTGTATTGAGATTTTAACTATGAGATTCATTATAGTCATGTTTTAAAGCAGGTATTTTTTTTTAAGGTGAGTGGGGGGGGGGGGGGGGGGGGGGGCGCAGTCTCCCAAAATATTGTCTTGAAATTGATTATTACTAAGAATAGAATTACTGCATTTTTTTTTCTATTTTTACCCGATGTTTAAGTTATTATTATTATTATTATTATTATTATTATTATTATTATTATTATTATTATTATTATTGTTGTTGTTGTTATTGTTATTATTATTATTATTATTATTATTTTCATTAGCCATGACAACTATATTTGCTGCTTTTTTAAAGTTGAAAATGTTTTTATTTTTTTAGTGAAGTGAGCCGTTAGTGGTTAAATTTCTGAAACACCACAAATAATCAATTCGAACATAATATAGATTGCAGCTTGTAGGTTGTCTGTGAAATATTGGAGCCACGATGTTTTTCTTTGGTTACATGTTGTCTTTGATTTCATCAATTGCACCTTCTTTTTTTTTTCTTCTTGTTTGATTGAAATGTTATTTCATGTAAAGGTTAAACATACTCACACAATAGTACATATGATCCCTTTTGCATCAAAGCTTCACATTTTGTCCTTTTCACTTACCTACACAAAATATTACTATAATATTATCTTATTTGTTCAGTATCGGCTTGTGATAAAAATTTTGGAAAGAGACATTTTTTAAAGACTGTTGTATGGTAAATTTGTTTTTATCTAGAACAACCTGAACTGCAGCAACAGCAGCAGCAACAGCAGCAATAACAGCAGCAGCAGCATATAGCATAACAAATGCAACAAAATCATTAATAGCAACAATAGAAGTAAACAGCACCTTTCAAGTACACTGAAAAAAGTAAGTCCACAATAATTATGTTCATGAAGAAATGAGTGTGGAACTTGAATCTGGGTATCATTTCAGTTTGAAGAAGAAGGCGTTTTTGGCTCCAGTGAGCGAACCTGGTTAGACGAAGTATCGTGTGAGCCTGGCCAGGAATTTCTCGACTGTGACCATGACATTTGGGGTTACCATGACTGTGATCCTGTGGAAGACGTAGGAGTCTCATGTTCCAATTTCTCAGGTCTGAAACTTGAATGTTTATCTTTAAAGGTTATTATGATTTCACCCATCATACTAAAGCAAAACTGTGTGCCCAACTGTCTGTAATTATGTTTGTTGATCTGCTTTTGTATCTGTCTGTTTATCTAACCTGCCATTTATTCATCCGTATGTTTCAGTTCAGTTTCTAACAGAGTACCTTTATCTCTCACAGTTCGCCTCCTCTCAGCTGTGCCAAATGACTACCATATTGGTTCTGTAGAGGTTTATTTGGAAAGAGAGAATGGCTGGTTTGAGGTGTGCGATGTCGACTGGGATGATAACGATGCCAGGGTAAACAATTGTGGAGATAATAAGTCTTTTATCGTTAATGCTCTACTATACTTACATATTAAGCCATCTTTGAGACATAGGCCTAACATTTGACCCACTCAGTTAGAATAAAGAAGAAAGAAGAAAGAAAGACAGGAGACGTAGACATTTTTAAAAATTATGTCCCGCCTCAACTTTTGAGGACTTAAATTCATATGTGCTATTCCAGTTGAGGGTTTGGTAGTCCTGCAAGTGTGCATTTGGTATTTTATAATAATTGCAGCAGTGGGGATGAGGGAGATGAGTGATGATGATAGTAATAAATGTATTGTATGACGCTGATTTTAAAGCTGTAGACTTTCTTTCATTGTCGCTATTTTAACCATTTGTTTTATATTTTTGTTTAAGTTGATGTGTTTGTATGTGTGTATGTGTGTGTGTGTGCGTGTGTGTGTGTGTGTGTGTGTGTGTGTGTGTGTGTGTGTGTGTGTGAGTGTGTGTGTGTGTATACATCTTTTCACATACAAGTGAGAGTATCTGAATAATTTGGTGCTTGTCTGTGAAGATTATAATTATATATGAGCATAAATATGTATAGGATTTTAATGTTAATCTCTGTTTTTGTCCATTAAAAGCACTTCTATTTTTTAATGTCAACTCATTGAGCATTTTATTTTGTTCCCAGGTTGCATGTCGTGAGCTTGGCTTTGCAGACGGGCGTGCCTTGTGTTGTAATTCTCTGGGATCAGTGTCTTACGGCTCTCTCACTGCTATGGGGAGCATGACTAACTTTACCTGTACTGGAAAGGAGGAATCTCTAACTGAATGTGGCATGATACAGACTGGTCTGTGCAACTTCAATGAGGCTATAATCAACCTGGCTGCGGTCATATGTTATGACAAACCTTTTGAAGAGATTGATACCAGTAAGAGGCACAGTTTTTTAAATGCTAATGTTTTCAAAGACTTTGTTGTTCCTGCCTCATGTCAAGTACTGTCTCTTAAGCACGAGAATCGACTTCTTTGAAAGTGCTAAATTTTCTTCTTGAGTTTGTTTTTTGGGGGGAGATGGCATACTAAGTGTTAATATTCATCTTCAGTATGTTCAGTCTTTTTTCCATTTGTCCAGGTTATTCTGTTGATATGTGTAATGGTGCTTATATATTTGCATGGGGGAAAAATCTGATAAGTAGTTGAGGAGAGAGATCAGAATTCAATGGTGAGGTAGGAGTATATGGGCCATTTCTATTTTCAGTATTGAATTTTTTGAGACCTTGTATTTTTCATATGAGAATTGTTCTACAAAGGCATGTCATGCCATCTATTCTTCAAGGAAATGAAGATAAGGTAGGCTACATAAAGACAACAAATGAGATATGTTAGAAGTGATCATCAATTTTATTTTTCCTTTTCATTATTTTCTTTTGAAACATTAAGCAATGTTAATAATATAAACTTGAAACTGAATATGACCAGGGACTTAAGCTCCTAGACTATTTTCTTCTTTTGTTGTGAACTTGATTAAAAATTGGCTCTATTGCTTGGAATAAGTCCCAAATAGGTCATTCACATCCATCCACTACTATCTGTTATAACCATTAATTTCTCTATGAAATCCTAATGTAGGCTACCTCTAAATTTTCCATTCATCATTGCCAAACATATATATACATGGTGATTCTCCAATGATTTGATATTTTTAAGTAGCATATCCTTATATCATCTTTATCTATCATAGGCACTGTCTATTCTAATGCAACAAACATATTTGTGAAGCTTCGTGGTGAAATCAGACGTGTGTCAAAATAATAAAATTGAGAAACAGGCATTTTTCCAACAGCTAAGCAATTTTTATTGATTTTTAGTTTTTTGGCTCAGGACCTTCTATGTCCATGTGAAGCAAATTTCTATATGAATTTTTCTGAAAAATGTTGATAAAAAGCTGAAAATATGTAAATTTTAAATTTTCAAGGACTCTCAAGATATTGCAGCTTTCAAACTTTGGCAGCCCTTTTCTCGTTAATTTTGCCTCTGGACTTCTTTTCAAGATAGAAGAGTATTTTTTTCTTAAAAAGCAAGGCAAATGACTAAGCTTTCAGATGATACTAATAACTCCACATACCAGAAAACTGACTCCAACGTTTTGTGACACTTTTGTTTATTTATTTCCATTAAAGTTATTTATTTGTTGGGGGTTGGGGGACGAGTACATGGGTAGGAGTCAAGTATAACTCCAGATAGAGGGAAATTAGATCAGTGAAAGATTATTCTATAAATGCCCATTTATTTAGAAAGTGTCTGAAGTTGAAAAGTTCACCTTTAAAACATTGCTTTATACATATTTTTACTTGTTTTTCTTTTCAGCACTGAAAACACGTGTCGTAGATGGTTCTGAGCACGCTGGCATTTTAGAGGTGCAATACATGGGTGTGTGGGGTCGTGTGTGTATGGATGATTCCATCTTTGAATCTGAATTCACTGATAACGAAGCATCTGTTGCCTGTAGAATGATGGGGAAAGGTTACAGTGGAGGGAAACGGTGAGGAATTCGCTGTTTCGGCAGTTGTCATCATCTTTTCCTTTTTTGTTATCCATTTTTTTTCCCTTTGGTCTCATTGCCACTTAAGTTACATGTTCCTTCTCTCTTCCTGAACACCTCACCGTGCTGTTACCATCCTCTGACACAACTTAAAAATTCTTCTGTGTTTTCACTCCTTTCTTGCTTTTTATCCAGGCTTTCATCTTGCAACCCGTTCTAGCACTCGTAGGTAGCCTGTGTAAGAGACTTGTCAATGCCAGAAAACATAAGCTCACTTCTAGAAAAATATACCTTTGCTCTGCCAAAAATAAATGTCAAAATATTTAACTACGTCATTTCTTGCTAGTGTGAAACTGAATGGTTTGTTTCATGTGTCTACTGTATTTTGTTACATTATGTCAAGAATGGGAAAGCAAAAGTATCGTATATCAAGCTAAAGAAATTTTTTAAACCGAGAGATATGAGAAAATACTCTGTTTGGAGCACCTAATTACTTCAAAATAGAAAATCTGTGATAAATCTCACAGAGAAATGTCATTTTGAAAAATTTTCATACGTTGACACATAGTATACATGTAGTGAGTATTTGAATGAAATGACTGAATAGATTGAAATTAGAGTTATGGCCTCAAATTACCCAATCTCCACTGCAGGATGTAATATCATTTATTTAGTCTTATTGTTTTTATTGCTTTTTTTTTTGGACATAACTTTGAGGTGTCCTGACCCCTTGAATTGTTCTCCTCTTTCGTACTATGCTTGGAGACAAAAATACCTTTGTATGATATCTAATTCCTATAAATTTTCTTTCTTTTTCTTTGTTTTGAAAAAAATTGATGGGAGTGGGAGGGGGCGAAGTGTCATTTTGAATATTTTTTTCTCTTGACTTTTCTAGGGCTCTGAACCAGTACTCAAATGTTTCAGCTTCTAATGAACCAGACTTTCTTCAGAACTCTTTTTTTCCCCCTCTTTATGACAAAAATGGTGGGTGAAATTGTGTTTAAAAAACTGTAATGTTCTTCTTTGTCCTGCTGCAGTTTTTTTTAAAGATTGTTATTGATTATCCGTCGTTCGGGGGAAAAAAGTGCTCCAAATACCTTCACAAAGGGCAGATAAAATGGTCTTTATCTTTATCAATTCTTTTTGTCATGTGTACATGACTTGTGTTTCCTTTATTTTTTTGTTTCTTGTGTGGCAATTATATAAAGCCCATCCATGGTGCAACACACACTTGCCAAGGGTACAATTTAACCTCCTAATCCAATGTTCATTTTTGTACATAATATCTGTTTTCCATTAATGTTTGTCCTTTTGAAATTTCTCTACAAAGTATATTTTTGGCATTGATATTAATTATAGGCCCATGGGTAAAAAGTATTTTTCAATATTCCTCTGTAATACAGGATCAACAATGAGAAAACAGATGATATTTACCATGCGTGGCTGAGAGGTCTGACGTGTTTAGGAAATGAGAGCAGCATCGAAGACTGTGACCATCCTGCGTGGGGATCACCAGCTTTAGACAACTGCGAGGGTCCTGTGCGAGTAGTTTGCTATAAATCAGGTACGTCTATGACAACCACTGATTTGCTATTCCCACAGTTATATTTCTTTTCTTCTTTAAGGGGGCTCGCGGATCGGGTCTTGGGCCTCAGAGACTGATTTACACTCACTCTGAGCACTTTTTACTTTTGGTATTTTCCTATCCTTCATTCAGTCTATATTTTATTGACACTAGTCCCTGATTGATTAACATAAACAGAATTCAATTTTATTAGGTTCTACGTTGTGTACTAGCATTTTCGATGTTAAACCTTGTTTTTTCTCAAAACACTTTTTTTCCACTACTTTTTGCTTGCATGTGCGTTTTTTTGTTGTTTTTTTTGGG